ACCAGCAGAGATCCTGGAAATGCATAATGTACAGTGGGAAGTGCAGCAGGATGAAAAGAACACTAGAAAAAAACCGTGGACGTAACAGAGAGGAGAAAGAAGAGGAGTCACTGAAGGAAGTGGAAAGTTAGCATGTTAGGAGACAAACCAAGAAAGAACAGTTGTGGGAACTAAAAGAGAACTGCAGGATGAACTTTTTTTCCCTCCAGATTTGAACAGAACATCTAAAGGATGTAGAGGTCAGAGCCAGGACTGAAAAGGGGAGCTGTATACCTCAATATATACTTACTTACTGCCACTGGAAATGGCATGGGAACCTATTTCCAGGCCCTATGAGACAATCCAGAAGTCCCTTGACATCTGTGTGGCAGTTAAATGAAATAGTTTGTCAGGCTCAGAGACTGTATGTTGTCCGTTTGCTTCTGTACATTGTCCCTTCTCAGTCAGATTCTGATTGCTCCTGGGAAGCTCCTGTTCTCCCACTCCCCAAGCTAGTGAATCTGATGAGGTAGTTCTCCTTCTGTGTAGTGCTCATCAAACCTCACTATGTCTGTGCACACAATATACATACCTGGTTCTGGTTTAATGCCTTCCCAGGGACTGGTGTGTAGGGGGCTGCTATCATCCCATCTCACGCTAGCAGCAATGTCCTGGCACTGTGCAGTCAGGCTGGGCACTTCTCTGTGTCCTGCCCTGCACCTCTCCTACCTCTTGCAATCATAAGAAGGTGCGTAGCTCCCATGCTGAGAGGGTGCTCTTCTCTGTGGTCTTTCAATACCTTCTCCTAATTCGGTTCTTACTTTTTGCATCATCAAGTGGGATCTGCGCTCATCTGGGATTTTGGTTTTATATTTCCAGCTTAAAAGTCCTTTTCTGAGCTTCCTTATAGTTTCAGCTTTGATAACAAATCAAAGACAAGACTACTTTCAAGTATTGCTTTCCTCCTGTGCCAAAAATAATGGTGTCTCACTGTGTCTCCCAAGGGAGAATAATTTCTATTCACTTCATATGGGATTTTCCCATAGGCAGTTTTACAGACACTTGCATGATTTGTCACCTTGCCAACTAATTAAAAACAAAAATACAGCTTGCTGATTTTGGAGTACTTTGAACAATAATAATGCACAGACCTGTAGACAAAAGTCGACATCGTTGTCTCCAGTCTAGTGGATGAGAAAACAAAAGCGAGCAAATCTAATCATGGAACCAGAAAAACATGGTCTTTGCTTCATGTATATTGCCTGTGTGTTTGTATTTTCAGCCTTGCTACCTCATAATGAGATGCTAATTAATGCTGCATTACCCTGCTCATTTTTCCCTCTAATGGAACACAAATCGAGTGCTAAATGCTCTTATTTCTTTTGTTTTGTTTCCTCTTGGAAAAGACTGATGTCTCTAAAGGAGCTGAAATGATCAGTCTGGTTTTGCTCTTACCCCTCCGTGCAGGAGCATCACCGATAGTTTGAGTTTGGCCGCAGGAGTTCTGTTTGCTGCTGCAGTGTCCATTTTCTAGCTTGTACAAAAATACTCACTTTCTCCGGTTTCCTGAACAAGTCATGGCAGACTGTACAGATTTTGAAACAAGTTAATGTTGTACAGTATTATATAGTTTAACATAAAAATTTAGGAGATGTAAACTTAAGAATTCCTGCATTGCTATTCACCTTCAGGACTTCGTATGTCCTGTAGTTTTGTGGTATACTTATGCCATACGTGTGTGTAAATCATAGTATAATTTTGCAACAAGCAGTAATATTGCAAGCTACCTACCCGACAGAAAATGAAGACGTTGGACCGTGGTACCAGTGAAAACAGGCCTGTAACTTTTATTCTTTGTGGGCGTTCATAACACTCTCAGCTCCACTGTGTCAGTGGACCGCTTGGCAGTGCTTTTAGTAGTGCGACTAAAATCTGTCATGTTTCTTCCCTTATCCACTCCCAGGAGGACGAATGCATCAAGGACATGTTCTGGGGGAATGTTTTAAACATATGTACACACACACTGGTGCATGTTTCTACTGGAGAAATGCACCAGGTGACTAAAGTAGAAGGCACAAGGTTTGTGATGGTCCTGAGCTCCCGGGTGACTTCATTCCACTGCCTGCAGAGCCCCAAGTCAGCTCAGCAGGACCCAGAGCTGGTACACTAGATCCAAACCTGGCTCCAGAAGGACAGGACTTTGGACAAGAGCGCTGCTGCCAACAGGTCTGCGCCTTCTGCCAGCAAACTGCCCCTCACACAGCTCACTCCCGCAGTTGTTGGGATTGGAGGTGAGCTAGCGGAGGGCTGCAGAAGCTGTTATGTAGAAGCTGGGTGACCTTCCAGGCCTGCTGTCCTTTCGGCTGAGTTATTTCTCGGGGGTGTGCAGCATGGGGATGTTCTGGCAGCTGGGACAGAGATGCTGGCTATGGCCTTATTGAAGTGTCTTTAGGGCTGCATGTTGCTGTTTTCAGGGGGAGCGAGTCCAGGCTGCGGCAGGTGTGTAGATCTAAGCATATCTCCAGGCTTTACAAGCTGAGATAGCGCAGCTGCCAGTGGAGAGACTTGAGCTCGTACGCAGTCGGTGTGGAAGCAAGGAGGCAGGCAGCAGGGCGCTCTGCTGGCACGCTCGCTGCCTGCACGGAGCACAGCGCCCGTTCCCCAGCCCCCTCCAAGCGCCTGCCAAATGGTGGGTGTGCTGCTGGCGGCAGGGGGTTTATCCAACTGCTGGAGGAATTCCTCACACTCTTCACTCCTGCTTGCTATTTTTGTAACTAGCTTTATTTTAAGTGACTGTAAATACTAATTGCTGTGGGAGAGCTGAGAGATCTAGGTGGCACTTGCAAGAGAGATAAATCAAAGTAAATGAAAACACAGGAGCACGCATACCCTCTCCAGCTAAGCGCAGTTGCTTTTGCAGCCAAACAGCATCTGTGGGGAAGACTCCTACGGCACCAGATAACAGCAGCAGACAGGCCTCTGAGCTGATGTCTACGAGCTGAGAGATCAGAGAAAATCGGCTTGTTTACCTGCTTGCGAAGCAGACTGGCTCTTGACAACTATTTCCTGGGTTTTGATCTTGGTCTCTGCCAGTTTTGTGATAGTTTTGGACACGAGGTATGATTTTGCATCTTTGGTTTGGCAGATGCAATGCTGAAGTCATCCCAAACAAGCAGCCCAGAGGTTTACTGCATTAGCTATGAAAGCACTCTGTGTCCTGGCTGGGACCTTTGCTATGATAAACCAGAATGAATAAGTATTAACTCATTTTCCCAGTGCCTGTCCCTGAAGATCAGGGAACAGCATACAGAACTACATCTACAGATGGTGCCCGCAGCTTGTGGGCATTTACTGCTGCCTTTACTACCTGCAACCTAATGGCAGATGTGCCCCAGTTCTGCAGCACCAGGTCCATCAGCTGGGCTGCAGTAGCTGCCCACACGCCTGCAGCCGACTTTCCCTCTCTGAGCTAATGCGCTGCTGTAAACCACCAGTGGGGTTTTGCATTTCACTTCCCGTCTGCTTTGGATTGTGTAACCAAGCCCCCAGACTCCCCACCTCTAACGAAGATGTTTTACAACACCACAGACCAAATCCAAACCACAAACATGCCATACAACAAAGAAAACAAACAGAGCAGATGGGGCCCCGTCCCAGCTGAGGCCTGGGGCGCTGGAATCAAAAGCACTTTTTCCTCTGCTTTACTAAAATATGAAATGAAAAAGAAAATAACCTGGTGAAGTGTTCATGCTCTGCCCCATCTTTCTAATATGAGTACTTTGTAACCTAGGCTGAACCTTTCTTTCCTGACCTGTTTGCAGATCCTTAGCAGATAGCAGTAACACAGTGCCATCAGCAGCGCTTGGCTCTGCTGAGCCTCGGCACCACAAAAAATCAGTGTTTTTCATTAGCATCTTCCCAGTCTCTCTGCCAGCCCCTCAATTTGGACATGATTCCACCATGATACAGGAAGAGAATCTCAAAATAAAGTGGTACAGTCACCTCCCATGTCTACTGACTCCACACAATCCCTCCCAATGCCAACCAAAATTTCACACCAGGGGAAAAAAAGGCATTACCAGAAACCTCAATAGGGCATAAATAGGTCATGTCTGTAGCTGTCTGCAGTCATATGATGATATGGCTGTAAAATACTATCTGGTGTTGGAAACCTTAAAAAAAATTTGAATGCATGACTTTTAAACCCACAAAACAGCATCAGCCAAGGCCCCTAATTGTCTTGAGCCTTATAAATATACTTTACTCTTCTTAACTGTGTCCGACAAGGGGTGCAGAGGGAAGGATTTTCCTTTTAACTGTTCCAAACTCTTCTTATAAAGAAACCTTTTCCAAATGAGTCATGCCGCATAGGCTTTTAAACACAGCACAGTTGAGCTGGCTTCTTCCTGTGGCATTTTTTCATGTTTACACAGCTAAGGAATGCAAGGGTGCTTCAGAGACAAGATATGTGGGCTTCAAAACATTTAAATGCCAGCACTTTGGTATTTCATCTTCAGCTGCAAGGTTTGGCTGATGAATGTCAGACCTGTCATGGCATGGCAGGAAAGCAAAGAGAAAGGCTGTAATGGAGCAATCGGGCGCCAAACCAGAGGCATTAAGGTTGATCTTGCATAATTGCACAGCAGACTTTGATGACCTTTTTAACTCTTAATACAAAAGTCTAGAGTCTTTCATTTTACAGGCGGTTCTTCCAAGTTCCAACCCCAGATTAATGGGTTTAATTTAATTTTTATCTGTTACTCAAAGAAATTCATTAAAACGGAGCAAACAAAACAACAGTCCCAAATCAAGCACTTTTTGCCTCCTGAGCACACTGCAGAAGCTGGACAAACGGGGCACGATGGCTCAGGATTCTCGCCCATGGGGGAGCTCCTGGGGAACATATTTCCCCCCGGAAAGCTCAACTCCATTGCAAAACAGGGAGAGGCTGGGAGGTCATTGCCATCTTTTCCTTGGCCCTTCTTACTCGTCCCGGGCGTATACTTTTACAACAGAGCGGGCACCATCTACCTCGTAAGATTTCAAGAAAGAACTGTTTAAACATACGAGCAAGTCAAGGTTAGATTTTCACCTGTTCTGAAGGTTGTGTTTATACAGTTGCTGCATAACTAGAAAAAAAATGAGTCCAAGGAATAGAGCATGCATCAGGAAATCAAACTTTGGGGTACGAGGGGCTGAGGCATTATCCTCCTTGTACAGATGCTCACTCATTGAGATGGCCTAATCCAAAAGGTTAGTAAAGCCTAACTTTGAGCGGTTGGAATTATTTGGCTTCTTTCATGCTTATAACAAGCACACCTGAATCCACTCCTGGACCAGAGGCCAGAAGGTCTGGCTTCTTGTCTCACTCTGTTCATCACTCCACCCTCTCCAGAAGTAATCACTCCTCGCTGATGGGTTTATTGCCTTCTATATGGCTTACAAACCAAACTTCCTTTTGAAGCAGAGGTTGAAATGGGGCAACATTCAGGGAAAGTGAATAGCCTGTAGCCTTTTCTCTTCTGAGTTCATCAAGGAGTGGAGAGATGAAACAGTCCGCTGACCTCAGTCTCCAGGCTTGCTTTTTTGTGCTGCTTCTCTCTCCTCCACTAGAATCGAGATGGTATGATTGCCTACCTCAAAGACAAGCTCCAAGAGATGAAGGCCAAAATTAACATGGAGAGCTGCTACACGAAGAAAAGCACAGACCTCCAGGTCCACCAAACTCAGAAGAAGTGCAGCAATGCAGAGAATGTCCTGGATGAGGAAATTCAGGTAAGCCGTTGTTCACGGCCCCTACTGGAAGGCATCTCCAGCTAGTAAGGAAAGAGTTCTCCCTGTCTTCCCAGATGCCCTTTCTGTTCTCCATCAAAGTCACCAACACAACTGTTTAAACTGGATCGAGAAACTCATCCAGGTTAGAAATCTTTCTCTCTTGCACTGCTTCTCTGTATGGTCCTGCAAACAGCAACAGCACGGCTGGCATGGCTGCAGGAGACTGGCTGGAGGCAGGGACTGCTTAAACTAATACCATTGTCAGAGAGGGATGCCTGTAACTATGTCCAACGGGTGCAGTTACAAAGCTATTTAGCAACACCAGCAATTCCAGTATTGCCCAGAGCATATTACGCTGATAGAGCTGTTTGTGTAGCCATAAGGTGAACTGGACTAGAAAACTGTTCTGGGCTTGCAAGCATTTTTTTTTTTTTTTGACTGATCAAGGCCTAATCTAGTTGTCCCTTTCTCACGGATGGCCCAGGGGCAAGGACTGCCTCGGTTAGTTTTGTCACTGGGAAAAACATGCGTGGACTACATAGACAGCTCCTCCACGCTTGCTCACCAGCTTGGCTTTCAGCAGCACGTGTGCGCACACTCGCATGCACTGACATGGCCTCACACGTTTCCTTTCTGCACCAATCACAGAAGTTGAGGAGCAAAACTGATGAGGAGATTCGAGTCCACACGGAGATGGAAAATTTCCTCAGGCAACAACATGAGGTAAGGGTGACTTCCTGCTAACGTTTAAGATAGCAACTGATAAACATTGTATCATCAATTAGTGCCTAAAGAAAACCAGTTACAGCTCTTCCAAACTTAAGAGGTTCATGATTGCTGCTGTTTGATTGACTAGTTATCCTCAAGTCTTAATTAACCCAGATCTCCCAGACTTGGGATTTACTACATTTGGATACATTTCCTTAAAATTAGAGTTCAGGTAATGGCTGGCATTGTTTATTCAGGTGTTACCTCTTTTTCCTCCCTCAGATAGTTGTTACTTATTCAGCTAATTGGAATTTTATTTAGACCTTCCTTGGCAATAGCTGGAGCTCCCAGTGGCCCAGTGAAGGGTGCTACTGCACAAAGTGAGGGCAACAGTTTCACAGACACGTGTGTTGTACGGAGGGGGCGCTAAAAAGGAAACGGCAAACAAACTGCCAGCCCAGTTTTGCCTTGTCTTAATTTGAGCAAGAACCAGGGTTGGATAATGGCTAATTTACGATTATTGTGCCCATTTTCAGCAGCAAACATCCATGAATGTCCTTGTGCTGTTAATCCAGAGGTTCAGAGCTTTCCTATCATCAACAGTGCCCATTCTGGTGAATAACACTGGAAAGCATCTCATAAACTGTATGACTGGAAGAAAACCTGTACTACTGCAGAGTACCTAACAACACTCCAGTACGAAATCTAATAGAATATAATAATTTAAAAAAAAAATCTTGTGAGGAATTAAATAGTGCCCTCTACATCACAGAGCGTTAGTCAGATCAACGCTTCATAGTGAGGGGACTTTCCAAGTACAAGCTGCAGCCTATTTGACCTCTACCAGAAGGCAAAGTGCAAACCTCTCTGTACTCAGACAGCAGCTGGTGGCTTTATAGGGGCCCAGAGAGAAGAGGATGACCATGGCCTCCATCTCCCTTGTGTGTCCAGCTGTGATGCCATAATGAGATTGATGCTTTTCCTCAGATTATTTTTCCGTGCAAGCAATCATAGTTGTTGCTATGGAGAAGTTATTTGTGAATGGGAGGAAGTCATCTGGGTGACCGTTTCAGCAGCACCTGCCCTCCTATTCACGAGTGAGACAAAGCCAAGTTCACAACCTGAAATAGAGTAAAGTGCTGTCCCTTGAGACCTGATTCCTGGTGCAGAGCTTAATCCAGAAAGCCGGTAGGGAGTCAGGCAAAGGATAAAAGCTTTCTCACTGCCAAATTCTGTTTCTTAACCCCCCTCCCTCTGTATACACACAAAGGATGGATTCTGGTTGTCGCTACACCAGGATTGACTGCACAAAACTACCCCCCAGTGCTTCCCCATTCTTCATGCACCTCTGAAAGCCCAACCTGGTCTCTCTTCATCACCAGTCCAGTGCTGCGGCTTCCGTGGTGAACCCCCAGCGAGGTGCCTGCAGGCCACCAGTAATTTATCACTAGTCCTAGGGGTCTGACCCTTTCAAGACTAGAAGGAAACACTCAGCGTGCAAAATTTATGGGACTCTTACCACCATCCTGACAGCAGGGCACATAATAGCAGCAAACCTTTCCCCTGTACACTTTTTGTACCATGCTGAGCTCCGCTCTATCCCCATGCAGAAAGTGGAAGAGAAGCTGGAATACTGGGTGGACAAGTATGAAAATGACACAGACGCTAAAGACGAAGAACTAGATGCCCTAAAAACATTAAAGGCAAACAACTTGGAAGTGCTGCAGAGACTTGCCACAGAGGTAAGACATCAGCAGCATCTCAGTGCTCAGTCATACAAAACGGCATCCTGGCTTTTTCCTACTCTGGTTCAGATAAGGAACCAGGACTATGGAAAAAAATATCAGTAATCTTGAGGTATAGGGGGAGATTATAAGCACTGGTCCTGGGAAGGCAGGGACTGAGTAGTCATCTTCTGTTTGACACCTGTGACATCAAGGAGGGATGATATTTCCCCTACAGCTATTTTCAAATACCAGCAAGTACTCGGAGCTATTGACAGCCTTTGTGAAGGGCAAAGACACCCGTATGCCTCACCTTAGTTTGTTGCCACAGTCTGCACAAATCTGCTCCTTTTAGCAACATGTGGGTGTGCCTGGCTGAGACTGGAAAAGTCAGCTCCATCCCTTCCTGCAGATGCACAGTGCTGTTATAAGGGAACTGATTCCAGTTAAAACCATTCCTGCTCCACATTGGTTTCTTGGTTAACCGCCGGGCCGCGATCCCAGCTATGCAGGCAGCGGAGCAGGCAGCACAGGGCAGAGAGAAGTGTCTAGAAAAAGGGATGTTTTAAAGCCAGAAGGAATGAACTTGTAATCCTTACTCTCACTGGATTTGAGATGATGGGACTGAGTTAGATGTTTCCCTGCTTGTGGGCTCATTTTTCACTCTGTACACTGTCATCTCAGTGTCCCCAGTGTGTTTGCACATCATCTGCTGCCTAGCCTGGGGGAGCACGGCTCCTTCCCACCACCATCTGTTGCCTGAGACGCCATCAGACAGCCATTTTACAGCACAGGATCAGAGGGTTAATTACACCCAGGCCGTGAGAGGTTTCACTTTGGCAGCAGCTCTCAGTGCCTCAGGACTGACACTGGTAATGAGCACTATTTGCCATCTGGATTCAGGGAAGATCAAATAAAGGAGGTGGGGGAGGAAGGTCCATGCTTACACATTACCCTTGGGCTGCTGGGGAGGTCCTTGGTGCACAGGGTGAGCACTGTGACCCACAGGCCAGAGCAGCCCTGGTGGGGCTGTGAAAAGTGTGTAGGAAGGATGAGGCCAGAGGAGAAGACTCCTTGCACCAGGGTCCAGGTGAGCCCTGCCCTGCTGCTGGGCAGAGTGAGCCTAGAAGGTTGGCCCTACAGTTTATGGGATGTGTTTTTCCCGTGGCTGTTGCCACCCCTGTGCTATCTTGCAGTGCTGGATGTTTGAGAAAACCATCATCGCTGACCGGGCAGAAAAGGAGGCTAAAAGGAGACAACTAGAGCAGGATGCCCTGGAGCTGAAGAGCATCCTGAAGGTAAAGGGGAGTAAAGCTGTGGCGGTGCTGTTCCATCAGCAAGTGGCAGTTAATCATTTGCACCACAGGCTTTGTTCGGGCAGAAAACGGCCTGAGAAAGTTGGCTGGTGTGGGATGGCACAAGTAAAGGACACAGAAAGCCAGTCCCTTTCTTCTGGGGCAGGCACAAAGCCAGCAGCGAGCTGCAGGTTTGAGAAGGGATGAAAGGGCAGAAGCCCGTCTCCTCGAATGGTCTGGGGCCGTGCTCCTCACACCAGCCCCACTGCGTGGGGGGGATACAGGGAGGGTCGCGGGGCAGTTCCCCTGCCCATCCCCTGGCCACCAGCAACAGATGCCCTCAGCCCTGACACGGATACCTTCACCATAACCAGCACAGGCCCAACTGCTGCTGTGTGGGCCAGGGGTTCCCTCCTGCAGCTGGGGAGAGCAGGAGAGATGCTCTGGGCCATTGAGCTGTACCGGATACTCCAGCAAGTGATTTCCCCTAAGACCTCTCTTTCTCTGCCTCTTGCTTCCAGCTGCAGGCCTGGTGGAGAGGTACAATGGTCCGTAGAAACCTCGGCCCCTACCAGGCCCTCAGGAAGATTTGGGAGAAACAGCTATCAAAGCAGACAGAAAAAGGGAAGAATGGAAAATACGGAGCAAAGAAAAAGACACGATAAGTAAAGAAACCTGTCTCCAGGGCTGTTGCTGGGCAGGGCACTATGGTTGCTCGGTCCATCTGTCTGACAGCACAAAATAAACCATGTAACAGAGCTCGGGCTATTCTGGAGAACACGGTTCATGACAGACACAGTTAAGGTGATGCTGCAGTAACTCTTAAGATCGTGATGCCGCCCTTGTACAGCAGAGACACAGTTTCTCCAGCAGAGAAGGAATTTGCATCAAAGCAGTGAGAAACGCTGTATCCCCAATGTGCTTTATGGAAACGTGACAGCTAGCGGGAGGTAATCCTGTTAACAGCCCCGTAACTCACCACCACGGGACGCTCTGCACCGAGGATGGCCTCTGCAGACCCCAAAGCACTGGCCGTGGCTGCAGCGCTGGTGTTTGCTGTGGCTCCCAGTAAAGCAGGGAGGCCAAGTCACCCACATCTGGGCTCGAGCAGCACTCTGTCTGCTGTCAGCGCTGGCGTTGGGTCGGCGGGGAGAAAACTGCTGATAGTTTGCAGTGTAAACACAAGGGCAGTCAAAGCACGCAGGTTTCCATTCCCGCAGTCCTGCAAAACGTCAGCACGTAGGCAGAACAGCTCCAAATACCTTCCAACCGAGGGAAGCAGCAACGGAAAAAGACAGCCGGCCGCGTTGCCTGCAGGAGCTGGTCTGTCAACAGCCGTACCCACCACAGTCTCTGCACAGCGAGATGAGGCAGCGGGCAGGGAGCGAAGCTGCCGGGGAGCAGTGTGCTGCTTTTTTAACCAAGAGGGGATCTCTCTCTCCCGACACGACTGTCACTCGCACGCAGGTCTGTGTACAAAGCAGAATTAGCCCCGCGGGTGAGCGGGCTGCTTTTTGACACTCCCACGCAGGAGAGCGAGCTCAAGCCACACAAAGTCTGCTGTGCTCTTTGTGACCAGCCCCTGATGGCCCCATCCAAACATCCTCGTATCCAGGCTGAACCGTGCCAAAAGCACTACAGTTCAAGTGAGATGACTGAAATCACAAGCAGAGCCTTTAGCTCAGAACTCTCTCGGAATGGGAGGAGAGGGGCTGGTGCCTGATGATCAGGCAGAGCCGATTGTCAAAGGAGCACTTAAATTTCCGACACTCCAGACAAACTTGCATTAGATGTATTGGAATTACCGTTGGAGCACTGCCACTTACTCGAAACCAGGACGTGTTCCCGCTTTCTGTGGTCCCCACACGGTGGCAAAGACAGGGATCGCTCCAGTCTGATCTGTGCTCACACCCCCTCTGCACCGCGGCTCCTTGTTGAGGGAGGCACCAAAGGGCAACCACGGGAGTTATGTTCCTAATTTAACTCTTCTCTTTCACACGCTGCTGACTTGGTACATTTCATTTAGGACTAGTATTTTCCATATGTGGTGGGTGTTAACAGGTGACATGTTTGGGTGGAAGGAATTAAGTTTGATCATAAACTCTTCAGAGGTTTTGAGCTAAGGAAAAAGTGGGATAGAACAGAGGGGTGGGAGATCTCCACTGTTTATATCAAACTCTAGGCACACATTAGTAGTACAACCAAACTACTGAAATCTGAAGCACAGCATCGGCTGGGCTCTGCTTGCTTTCCAGCAGAGAACAATATACAACATAATTCTGAAAAATCCTCTGCATCCAGGGATTCTGCCGAGGCTGGGCGCCTCTTCCAGCCCCAGTTCCCAATGCCAGCGTAGGAGCACTTGTTTATACGGTACATCAAGTCCCGGCAGCCGAGTGAAAAAGCCAGTAGGAAGTTAACACACTGCACTGGATCATGAAATAATTCAAAACTTCCATTTCAGTGACCAAAGAGAGAAAAACAAACAAAAACCCCACCCAAACCATAAATTGCATGGGCACAGCAAAGTCTGCTTCCAAAACCAGGAAGCTCTGTGTCTGTGTGTATAGGAGAAGGGATGCTTTTTATTTCAAAAATGAAATTAATAATAAAAAAGCATCAGTAGAATAGGGTTTGCTATTCCAGTCAGATGAGGGTGTGCCGAAATGTTGATTCCCAGCACGAGTGTCCTGCCCACGGGGTCATAGTGTGACAGGGCCAAAACTTTTTAATCTGCCCAAACCTCCCCGAGCTTACTCCTCCCAGGTAAGAAGAGCAGGCTCTTCCCTGGGGACCGCGGCCAGGCTGCCACCCAGCTGCCCACCTCCTCCCGGCCTCCTCCGCTGCACCGGCCCGTCCCAGCAGCGCTGCTCTCCTTACGAGCCGTACCTTGCTCCGTCAGGAACCGCAGTGGGTTTCTGTTTCTTGGCTGTACGGCTGCCAAGCAAACAGGCTGAGTGCATCCAGTGGTGGGAGCAGAGAGTGGCGTCCCAAACCCCAGCGCTTTTGAGGAACTTTGCCAGGGTTGGCACTGCTCATTTTTTCCAGCTATAGATAGATGGGATCAAAGTGCACATCCATGGTACCTTCTGCAGGGAAAACCAGAAGTCACAAGCCCTTTGAAGAAACTGGTTTCCAGAGGGGTCAATGGAGAAGAAAGGTTGGAGAGCAAGAAGCTGGTTAGGAGGAGGCTTTAGACGGAGGGACAGAAGTGCACGCCTGGGGAGAGCTGGGCAGCCCTGACGAAGGCAGGAACAGAGTTGTCTCCCCAGTGACTGGTGGAGTCACCAGGAGGTCAATAAAGGGTGCTGCAGCAGCTCGGTGAGCAGGGAACAGTACCATGGGGTACGCAGAGCATGTACAAAGTAGGGAGGGTTTGTGCATCTCTGGCAATTTCTAGACCTGAGGAGGGAAGAAAAGAGGAGCGAATGTTTTGGCTAATAACCTTTCAAATGCTGCGGGGGCACGAAGCTGGGGTGCAAGTTCTACAGGTCAAACCCAAGACAAGATAAAACCAAGCAAAAGATGAGAATGGTAAGGAGCACCAGTACTGGCAGCAGCAAACTGCCCAAACTTAGAATGCACATTTTACTTTGAGAAGGAAAAAAAAAAAAAAGGGGGCGGGGTGGGTAGGGAGGATCCTATACAAAATCACTGCTTCTCAGTGTCTGGGGAAGGTTAAAAATATCCCCAAGAAAAAGCTTCTGATGTGGCTGCAGAATGGCTGGATTTTTTCTACCCCGGTTAACTATGAAAACTAGAGAAACAAACCAGGTCCACTAACGGCCAACTGTGACAATGGGGAAGGGGAATAAACACCTGCCAGAGGATGGATGTGACGTTCATTGATGCAACAGAAAAACAGCAGGAAGAATACTGTAATTCGTGTAAGTTTTAAAACTTTATTTCAAATTACCCATGGTTTCCTCTCATATTACTGATGTGCTTGTGTTCACGCTGCTGGCAGAATACAGGCAATTTAAAATAAAGTATACAATATTCAGACACATTTATATGTAACAGACTTAGAAATTATGGAATGTATTTACAGACATACAGCATGGATGAAGCTTTAAAATCCTTTACTCTATTAATTACACGTTTACACTGTTTTCAGAAATAACAAAATTAGATCGCTTTGTAAAACACCACCATATCTATACAAAAGAATTTTTAGATGTCCAAATTCACCTTAGAAGTCCTCTGTTTCTAAAACACTTTTTTTCAAAGAACCATTTATAGCCATAAAAGGGTAAAAATACCATTTGCCATTGTGTCACATCAAGAGGTGTTCTCGGCGCTGTAAGAAGTTGTCTCTGATTTATTTTAAGCAGCCCAACGAGGTCGGAGCCTTTATGAAAGCCTTCCCCTTCGCAAGGGGGAAGACCCAAACCGTGGCTATTTTGCCCTGACCATGCAATGCCATCAGGGCCTGCCGAGTGCCCGTGCTGCTCCATCGTGAGTGCGTACCCTTACTGAGCCTCAAATGCTGCTCAGCGCTTGACATGGTTTGGGGAAGGATGGTGACACAATGGGGTCAGTGTATAAACACCAGCAAGCACAAAACACTCGCATTCCTCCCACATCCTCCGACACAAATGCCCCAGAGAGGAAAGACAATTGCCTCTTTGCTTTAACGCACAAACCAGAATGTTATACATGTTTTCTTTAAAATATTCTTTTCATGGGATACAACAAAAATTGCACATAAATACACCGAGAAATCCCCAACCCATTTTTCAAAACAGAACTGAAGTTGGTTTTGGTATAATACATTAAATAAACCGTATGATGAAACTTCAGGTTTGGATTTTTGTCCTAAACATCTGGTCAAGATTTAGTGTTTGCCAGCATGAAAGCACAGGATTATAAATGTCAAACTTACATGACAATGTACATTGAAACTGCCCGAGTGAACCGTTGCTTAGAGCAAAGTAAGTGCCACTGGGGACAGAACGCCGGCCCAGCCCCGCAACCACTGCTCCTTACGTGAACTCAGCTGCTGCGCCTGCGCACCGCTCGTACAGAAGAGCGGCTGTGTTAACCAGACACGACAGCAAATGGCCATTTCTTGCAGTTCAGGCTCAACCCCCCACCCCATTAATTCCTAAAAACTAGTATTAATGAAATTGGTCAAACTTCCACCAACCTGAATACTGTTAAGTTTCATTTTCCCTAAGTGCTGGAAGCTGGAGTGGAGCAAACAACACACCCTCACAATTCCACGAAGGGAATGGTTTTCTTAAAACGGGAATATTTAAATAGTCCACAAAGGGTGTGCTACTAAAAAGTTAATATGCCCCTGTAACAATACAAGTGACCTAATGTTGGAAACTAAGATGAAGTCAGTGCCCCCCTCTTTCAAATTATGTGCAGAGACAAAGATACAAGAAACACTGTTGGCCGCGAGCGGCAGAATCCACTCGGCAAACTACAGCAGAGACTTCAGACACTTTTATGTAACCTTTTAAGAATTACCAACACTGCTTGCAAGTGAAATGAAGCGAAACACAAGACCTACTCAAGGAGGAAAGTACGCCCGTATGGAGGTGCTCTCTTCCTACGGGTATCACAAGTTATTGGCATTTTAATTTCTTGCAGGGCTCGGGGTAACGAGCTTACCCAGTATGAAAAGGTTTCTCTTTTCAGCTGTGCAGTTTTGAAT